ATATATATAGTACTATATAATAAATACAATAATATATATATATTATATATATATATATATATATAATATATATATAATATAATTTATATATGTTCGGTGCGCGTGTACGTGATGCCTGTTCGAACAAGAGCGCTTTCACGCAGGGGGTTCACGCGGTTTCACGTTGTTTCACACAGTTTCACGCAGTTTCACGCGCTTTCACGCGGTTTCACACGCGTTTTCACGCGGTGGATCACGCGGTTCTCACGCTTGTTTTCACACAGTTCACCGCGCTTTCGTTGCGAGTTAATCACACGCGTTTCAACACACGGTTCACCGCGGCGCTTCACGCGAGTTCACGCGGTCTCACGGTTGTTATCACACAGTTTCACGCGGTTTCCACACCGCTATCACGATTGTTTCACACTAGTTCACGCGCTTTCACGCGTTTTCACAACACGGTTATCACGTCACTTTGTTTCATTAACGAGTTTCACGCGCGTTGTTTCACGCGCTTTCACACGGGGATCACGCCGGTTTCATGGTTGTTTTCACACATTTTCACGCATGTTTCCACACAGTTTTCATGCAGTTTCACACGGTTTCACACGGGTTCACGCGGTTTCACGTGCATTCACGGGGATTCATGTTCCCGGTAGACGCGCAATATGACGTGCTCAACCCCACCCGAGATCATTTGTTGTTTGTAGCATCGCTGTTTGTAGCCGCCAGTCAATGAAAACGTGACACGATGCTGTTGTTCGCGCTCTGAGCACATGTGTAGGCGAACAATGATTAAGGCAAGGCATTCTTTTCTGTAGGCAAACGTTGTTTACGCTCTGAGCACGTGTGTAGGCGAACCATGATTAGGCCCGCCTTTCTTGTCTGTAGGCAAACGTTGTTTACGCTCTGAGCACGTGGGTAGGCGAACCATGATTAGGCCCGCCTTTCTTGTCTGTAGGCAAACGTTGTTCACGCTCTGAGCACGTGTGTAGGCGAACAATGATTAGGCGGGGCAGTCTGCGACGTTTTAGTTTCTGTAGGCAATGTTGTTTACGTGCGCTGGGCGCGTGAGTAGGTAAACCAGGGTTTAAAATTAAGGGTAGTCCGTCGGTCCGAAATTGTCGGATTTACTGACGGATGAATAGATTGCAGCAACAACTGTGCAAGTATAAACTAGAGTGGTATATAAGCAGTTTAGATGACACAGCCTCAACCATGCTGATGCGGGTCTGAATGTACCGTGAGGACAGAAAAACCTATTTGTCTCTCCTAAACATTTTCTTCTTGTGATTTATTACGTAATTTGACGTATAATATTGACTACCTCCTAGCTTTTTCACGTGTATGCCATTTCTACCAAGTTTTGCTCACCACGGAACAAACCTCCTGCATGGGTATATATATTTATATATATATTGCTTTGGTACACAACCGCTCGTCTGTCTGTCAAATTCCGCAGTCGGTTTCGGGGGGAAATTGAGTACAATTTATACTTGAGAACAAGATGAGGCAAACGCGCCTCTTATCTTGTGAAGCCGGCCTGAGTTTCAGCACAGCTGCTAATTAAGTTCTCTGCAATTTTGAAGATAGACAGCTCGTTAGCAGAGAGACGCTGAGACGTCGTGTATATGCCCACTGGTATTTGAGAACGAACTATATAGAATTATATAGAACTTCAAATATATAGATAGATTATAGAACTATATAGATAGATTATAGAACTATATAGATAGATTATAGAACTATATAGAATAGGGCAGAAATTGTTTGTTGAACGTGCGTTGCGTCACTCGTCTTGCAAAGGCGTGCCCGGTTGGGTTTACAGTCATATTGAAATATATAGAGATATCTAACCATAGATATATCTATGATCAAACTACGGTATTATTTCTATGGTTACTATGCAGTATGCAGCTGCTACAGCTCCTAGTTCGACAAATGACGGTTTATTTACTGAACGGATGTAACGTTGATTTCTGACTGACACTTAGTGTGACAACGGCAGGGGCAAATACATGCAACCACTGTCCGCTATTCTTAACACTGCCACGTTTACTTATCACATATTCAAAGGCTATATATATATATATATATATCAGTGTGTTTAATCACTGAAGTATTTTCGTTTTGAAATGCATTGAGTATATAAAGCGTGCGAATCCGCCATGGAATGAGCGAACATTGGTGATGTGTTCAGAAGCTCTTATTAAACCAATCAGAATGATAATTTGCAAGGGAAATGTATAGAGTTTTATAGCAAAATCTACAAGATTGAGATCTACTGAGGCACATGACGTGTACCGACAGAGCTCTAAGCAGTGTAGCTATATTCCAGAGACACGTGTGCCATCGAGATGTCTGGAAACATTGATTCTATAAGTAAGAAGAAGTTCTGAAGTAAACCAAGCGAAATTGCCACGGCATTTTGACATTTAAAGCGAAGTATTGCACAATGTTTCGAATTACATGTAATAGCATTATTTTTAATTTTATGTTGAGATGCTTGATTCGTAAACACATTTGCGATTAGCGTATTCTAAATGGGTTTTGTTGAATCGTGATTCTGAATCGAGCAAGGAAAGGGTGACATTTTTTTGCTACAGCATAAGAGATCGTAATGCACCTCCCCGCATGAACACATGAATTGCACGAACACATGAACACATGAACACATTCCCACGAATGACCGTGTATGGTATCAACGCGTTGCGAATAGCGCTGGCGACCACACATAATTATTTGCGACCGATTGACCCATCGACTACACATACTGCGTTTTATGACGCCGTGTGTGTGTATGTGTGTGTGCGTGCGTGCGTGCGTGCGTGCGTGCGTGCGTGTGTGTGCCGTGCGTGCGTGCGTGTGTGTGTGTGCGTGCCTGCTGACACGTGTCGTTGTTGCAGATGCTGCTGTTGCTGCTGTTGTTGTTGTCGTCGTCGTTGTCGTCGTTGTTGTTGTTGTTGTTGTTGTTGTTGTTGTTGTTGTTGTTGTTGTTGTGTTATTGGTGTTGGTAGTGCGAATAGTGTCGTTGTTGTTTTTAATGTTGGTGGCATTGTTGTTATTGTTGTTGTTGTTGTTGTTGTTGTTGTCGTCGTCGTCGTCGTCGTCGTCGTCGTCGTCGTCGTCGTCGTCGTCGTCGTCATCGTCATTATCCTTATTGTTGTTGTCGTTGTGGATTGTTGGCCTAAATGCTACCATAAAACCTGATAGCATGAGCGACGGTGCCAATCATCTCCACAGTAAGTAATTAACACGCGTACTCGGCATCAGCACACGTGTGTGTCTGTGTTAGTACAGGCCACTGCGGATTATTTACGGCATCGTGCTAATACGTGCAAAATTCACGTTTGACGATTGGATGCCCCGGAGTCCAGTAAACCATAGCCATGGTAAGTCCATTAACTTATTGGATCGTGGGTTTCAAATTTAACATTCGCATATCGACGCATTCTTTGTAGAAGCATCGTACAGTAACGGTAAACCAAACTGTCTCCCGAGGCAGTGCCGGGAGCACGAGGCAAGATTCGAAGCCACGAGGCCAGCGTGTTATGTATACATACATACATACACACACGACTGAGCGGGTGTAGTTGTCGTGGCACTAGCAGTATTAGCACAGTCATTAGTAGCAAGCACTGTGCTTGTAACGTGTATGTGTGTGCATGCCGATTATATTTCAAATCACATATAGATTTGTGCCCACCAAACTACGTTCATGTTACCTAACTATGTGTTGGTTTATGGCCAATGCCAGTTGGAATCGCTGTTGTTAATCTAGTATAAATTGCTGGCGCCGTCACAAAGACATTTTACACTTATATGCAAAATTTCTCTTCACCGTCGTTATTAAATTGCTGATGCTGGCGATGCCGCGGTTGGATTTATAATTCCTTTCACACGCACTTGTGAACTTTATTGTTGAAGCGATTGAATTTCATATTGATTATAGCAAGATTATTGTGAACTTCGCTTGTGAACACACGCGCACTATGTATTGCAAACATATGTCAGCTTCATTTCTCCGCCGGGGATGTAATCGAACTTTTTCCGCGCGACAGCAAAAACAAATCGCTTCTCGGATTTCTGTCTCCCCCGCCTCCGCCTCCGCCTCGCACGTCCTCCCACGCACCCGATACGCGAACCGACTCGGACCGTGTATTGCTGAAGCGTGCAGCATGCAATGCGTGCATGCGTGCTCAGTGGTTAAACGTTCAAGCTCTCTCGATCTGCTTGCTGACGGATATCGAAAGGTCGACCACACTGTCGCGTCCGCGTCATCCCATTAAATTATTCCAACGGACAGATAGGTGACGAGAGAAGCGGCGGCGGCGGGGGAGGGGTGAGGGGGGGGGGAGGTCGCATATACGGATCGATACAGCGGGAGGGATGATGTCCGAACTACAGCAGTGACACACTCGCAGCCCCTCTTCTATATATAGTGAAAGCATAAAGCAAGCACTCGTATAGTGGCAGCGTACGCGGGTGCAGATCAATCGATTTAATATTAAAATGCGACTCGGGGTTGATCGGTCGCGTGGAGCGTCTGCCGTCTCTCTGCTGTCTATATATTATATGCCGACATCGGCACTCGCCTCTAGTGCGGCAGAGGGATGTGGCGTTGGTGCATGGTAGGTACGTTTGTGACACGCCGTAGTAATGTGGGTGCGTGCGTGCGTGTGTGTATGTGTGCGTGCGTGCGTGCGTGCGTATTTGTGTGTGTGCGTGCGTGCGTGCGTGCGTGCGTGCGTGCGTGCGTGTGTGTGTGCTGGCGGGTGTTACGTCCGCGTGCGTCATACGTGCGCGCGTTATGGCGCCGAATTCCGCAAATTTTACGCGTTTCTGCTAGAATTGCTGCCGCGTCACGGCGGTGGTTATTGGTGGAAGCTATCTATGTATAAGGTTAAATAATTCGAATAAGGTTATCTATGTTTAAGGTTATATGTTTAAGGTAGTCTTCCGGTACGTGTCTTGTACGTATTTGAGGAATAATTTCCTATCATAGTCTATGAGTCTATGACATATGGTCCATGATCATGTCCATGACTATGACCTTGACCATGACCATGACCATGACCTTGACCTTGACCATGACTATGACATTGACCATGACCATGACAATGACCTTGACCATGACCAT